ACTTTCTCTCCAGAAGTCCGATTGAGGTGATTCAAGTTTCATTGGAAAGCTAACTCAACGTACTACAATCTTGATAGAAATAGATCTTTCCAAATTCGGACTTTTACTAGGTCAAACGTTGATCTCAATGTTCGACTCAAAATCTAAAAATCCTTGTATCTGGTTGGAATTTGATTTGTGAAAATATTATAGGCATATTTAACTTCTTTTGACTTCTAATTGCACCAATGGACTCCTAAATTTCTCAAATCATCATTCCATCACCCGTCTCATCTATGAATTATTTGCAACTTGGTCCCTGAATTTTCACTTCTTCTCGCTTTGGTCCCTTTTCATTTGTTTCTTCCAAATTTCACCATTTTCACCAAAATGCAACTTAAACCAAAACATAAGAGTAATGAGTGCATTTTGACATAATATAATCACATGAATGCAATAATTAAGAGGGAAAAATATAGTATTTTACACTCTTATCAGTGTTCTATGAGGAACTTGATAAAGCACTGCCTGAGCTTTAGTTCTAGCCTTGCTTCGACTTGAGTTTTGTGATATGGGAAGTTGGGGTGGATCTGTACTTCATCTAGTTCTTCCACATCTGGTTGGTCTGGGATGGTCGGTTGGGATTGCTGTAATTGCTATAAAGAACTGTTAGAGTGGAGTGAATTTTGGTAGCACTTCCTGGAATCCCTTTGGTCGCCAAAAATTTCTCTTATTCTCCATTTGGTCGAGAAATGGAGTACCTGATGAAACGTTGATGGTACGGCCTTCATTTAATGGATTTAGGGCCTCCCCAAAATAACATTATATGCTGAAGGACTATCCATTAGGAGGAATTGGGTGTGAAGGTTAACCCCTTTCGCATAAACAAGCAAAACAATCTCGCCTAGATTATTCTTTTGTTCACCACTGAAACCAATTAGCATCGTCGTTCGGCGTGTAATATTTTCTTCTGGAATTCCCTTAGCCTTAATGGTCTCCAGGAAAAATATGTTTGCACTATTGCCGTTGTCTATCAAAATACGCTTGACTAAGCAGTTGGCGATGTTCAAAGATATGACCAAAACATCATGGTGTGGATTGAGTAGATGCGTAGCCTCAGATGTCGTAAAGCTAATGATCTGCGGTGTGTCGATTGGCTTATTTGGCTTAGATTTTGACAGAGGTGAGTTGCTCGACGAGCGTGCCTTCGTGCCGTCGCCCTTGTTATCCCACTAACTTTCGATCCGCCATGATGAAGTTAATGGTTCGATCTTGTGATGGTGCAGCCGTTAGTTCGAAGCTTTGCTTACCGTGCTGCTGTTGTTGTCATTTGGTGACATTCTCTTTTCCTTTATTGGTTAGAAGGTCCGCAAGACATCCCTACTTCAATAGTTCACCTACTTCCAACCTCAAAGCAATACA